TACGTGGTGAAAACTTGCCTCAAAAAACTAACAAGCAAAAATGTTTTCAAATAGACTTTTAAAGGCATTGTAACAATTTCCAGCTGTGATTGGTTCATGGGTTCTATTTAGGAACAGGTTGTTTGAAGCCTTATAATATGATCCCTGGCTCTTTCCAGGTCCTCCACTATTTTGGATGGCCATCTCCATGCTGCTGTGTCTCTTTTACTCACTCATTCCAGTCTTCTTGAGAGCTTGGCTGTGCAGACTTGGGCCCTCCCCACCCACTTATAGGACTAAGAGAGGGTCTCATTTTATGGCTCTGAATACACACCCCACACACTCAATTTCTCTAATTCATATTTATACTCCAGAACAGCATTTCTACTTTAAGACAACATTCTATAACAAACTTTGGTACATGACTGAGGTTAATGCTACTGAGAAGACAGACATGATCAAATGGCTAGGGAGATGGTGCCCTGGCTCTGTGCCCCAGAGCACATATAAGCTTACAGAGCTCTAGCAGATTGACAGCCTGACCCGAAAATGGCTGCAGTCTCCAGAAAGGAGGAGATCCCCCCACCCCCAGAGGACACTGTGCCCAGTCTCCTGTTGATACCAGCTTCTTAAAAGGCAGCAGAAGGATCAGGGTTGAGATTCTCAGCATGAGGGCCACAACTAGAGTCACAGACAGAAGACATCAGACATCGAATAGACAGACACAGGGCAAGGTGGAGCTCAGTGGTAGAGCATGTAGTTAGCCTAAGACTTGAAGTTCCAATCCTAGCTCCAAGACTTGACACAAAGAATCAATAGAGGAGAGTGATAGATGGTAGATGATACTTTGAAGTAGAAATAAGATAGAGATATATAGATTAGATACACTAGATTTAAAAATAAGAGACGTGGAGAGAGAGGGAGAGATTTATGAACAGAGATATATGTGACGACAGCCTGAACCAAGCCTATGGGTTTAACCAAAATAAATAGTGCACCTGTGTCACTATGACCAGACACTGAAGTACATGTGCAAATGAAAATGAGCAAATTAATAAACAGGAAGCACTCTGCTCACTGAAAACATACGGCACCTTTGACTCGTTTCATGCTACCTCTTACGTCAGGGATTCCCTCACACTGATCCCAGGTTCATACAGCAACAAGGCATGAAGGGTTCTCATAGAGAAATGTGTATAGTGAGAAGCGTTGATCGAGATAGTCAATGGCAAAGACACCTATTTGAATAAAAACAGCTGTTGTTTATTTGTTTTAACCCTAACTGCAGACAGACTGAAGAATCATTAACTCACTCCTTTTCTTGGGTAAGATTTGGGAACATAACAGCTCATTAATAACAGACAATAGACAGACAGATAGAGAGGCAGGCAGACAGACAGACAGGGAGCCCCTTCAAATTCTTTCACAATCCTCCCTCAGTCTAAGTTCTTCTACATCAAACAAGCTTTGTGCCAGTTTCTCCTCTCATACCAAGCCAGCTGGAGCACAGATGATTAGGAGACCCAGAAAGTGTAGCCCGCAGAGCTCAGCCTCCACAATAACACATGGAAACTGCAATAAAAGTCTGCAAAGCCAAACGGCCCAAAAGTTGGCACCATTAGTCAAGTAATTTCATAACAGACAATAAAAATGTTATACTAGTGTGGGTCCTCTCTTATCTTAGATAGCTGACATATTAATGTGTGAATCAGAAGGTCAAAGGAAGAGCTGTGGGAGGGTATGTACTCATCTTGATGAAAATGCATGCAAGGCACAGGAAATCCATAGCTAAAGGAACATGTGTTCAGACATCTTTACAGCACAGATGCAGAGAACCCCCTCCCCAACTGTGGGTATGTATGCATTTGTGTGTGCATTTGTGTGCATAGGCATGTGTGTGTGTGTGTGTGTGTGTGTGTGAGAGAGAGAGAGAGAGAGAGAGAGAGAGAGAGAGAGAGAGAGAGAAAATAGAGCTACAATCTGTCTAGGCACCATCACTGATCTGCTGCCCTGCCTAAGTTACCTTTCTGAGTCCTCTTGCATTAAACTGTCTGAGGGTCATAACTGCTGTGAGTGTTCTTGTGTGGAGCTGAATTGGGCATCACAATACACTCAAGTGAGTCTTGGAGCAGCCCTGGCCACCCTGTATACTTGTGTGCATAGGCGTGCGTGCACAGTAGAAGTGTGAAAAGAGGGAGATGCCAGTCCATGATCTATTATATCAAACCCCAAATTCTCCGCTCGATGCTCATTTTAAGAGATTTTTATGGGTAGAAGCTAAGCCCAGCTTAAAAGCCATCCATCCACATTGAAATCTAGGGCAAATTATCAAAAATACCTTTTAAAACACACCACAAAGACTCTTATTCAGGAACATTTGAGGTAACGCAAAAACACAAAAGTTACAAAGAAGAAGACGCAATCATCTAAATAAAGGCATTATAAGAATCAGACTGAAGCGAAATCCCCGCTATGCCATAGCTAGGACAGAAATATATTGTTCTATATACACGGCTAAGTAATCTTCCTCTCGGACATTTCCTAACGTTAGATATAATATAAAAATCCCGAAAAAAGAAGGCTGTATGGGGTAGAGAAATGGTTCAGGAGTTAAGGGCACTGGCTGCTTTTCTAGAGCAGGGGTTCAAGCCTTCCTAGCGCTGTGACCCTCTAAGTGTAGTTCCTCAGGTTGTGGTGACCCCCCCTCCCCAAACATACAATGATTCTGTGGCTACTTCACAACTGAAGCGTTGCTACTGTTATGAATCGTCATGTGACTATCTGACCGGCAGGACATCTGATATGCAACCCAAAGCAGTTGCAACCCACAGGTTGAGAACCACTCTTCGAGACGATCTGAGTTCAATTTGCAGCACCCGCATGGTGGCTCACAACCATCTGTAACTCCAGTTGCAGGGAATTCAACTCCCTCCCCTCCCCTCCCCTCCCCTCCCAAAGCCCCATATCTGCATGTGTTGCACAGATATACGTACAACAGACATTTATACATGTAAAAGCCGAAATATTGTTAAATAATTAAATAAAATTTCTGGTTTAAAAATACCAAAAGGTAGATGGTTGGAGAGACTTATAACTATGTTTATAGTGTTAATGGCGGCGGGTGTATAATTACCCAGTGACTCCTTGTCAATTGACAAGCTGCCTTGCTCCCCTCTTTAAGCTGCATACTTCCCAAAGCAAAGACAGCGACATCATTATTAAGAGCTCATCAAGGTATAATCTTCATGTCTCGCATATGAATATCTCTACCGTTTATCAAAGTTTTACTTGTTTGAGATCTTACTAAATGTATGTACTGGCTTTGGGCATCAGTCACTGAGGTCAAAATTCCAGGAAGGAAGACAAAAATAAGGCCGACAGCTCAGCCTCAACACATAACTCTGTCCTATCTATATATAAATACTGCTCTCTGGATCCTCTGTCCCCTTCATATTTTTGATATCTTTATCCAGGCTGCCGACGTTTTTCCTACCCCTCTTCGTTCCTTTGGCCATTGTTCCATAACCTCTCCTGTCCTCCCTAGACTCCAATATTCCCCAGGCTCACAATTTCTGTTTCTCGCCTTTATGTTCTCCCACAAACTGCCAGTGCTCTTCCACAGACTGAAGCTCCCTAAGTAAAGATGGTTATTGATGTACAGTACCGGTGTTTTAGTGCAGCAGCCGAATCAATAAAGGAGAAAATACTGCTTTGTCAGGCTTCACCAAAGCATTCTGGGAAACTTTACTGCTCTGGGTGGTTACAGCAACTCTTAATACAGAAAGTGAGAGCTGGATTCCCTTCTGTGGTGAGAAATGATGTTCTCCTACCCTCTAGTGACTATAAAGGAATAACACAAAGGTGGAGAGTGTTTGAGATTGCAGCACACCATTGTTTATCATGCCCCGATCTGTTTCTGAACACGGACAAGAGGGCGAGAAATCAAGTGAGATAGGACGAGGACCAGTTACCTTCCCATGGTTCTGTTAACATGTTTAAAATGCAGAACGGATACGCTATAATCAGTGTGTGCCATCAGAACATTGGACCCATGGATTTCTGAATGGGAGAGGGTCTTAGTCTCTCTCTCTCTCTCTCTCTCACTCTCTCTCTCTCAGAAATATTAAGAATTCTTGACCTGAATGCAGACTCTATATTGTAGAAGAAAGTAATCGGCAGAGGTATTGTACGATTAAAAATTACAAATTGTGTGTGTGTGTTTGTGCACAACCTCTTTCCACTACATCTACAGATCAGCCCCAACATTCAGAAATCAAATGAGACAAAGAGCCTGAAGTACTACGTCACTTAACTAGATTTCTGCATCTCTTGATAAAGGAGCAAGAACTGCTACCATAAGTTAAAAATCTTTCAGGGATTGCTCTTAGAAGTATTTTCACATTTAGTTACCTAAAATTTTATAATTTATTTAACTTAATAAGTGATTAAATTCTAAACCCTTTCCTTGGTATTCATATTTGTAAAAGCTGAAGAATATTACACAATTGCTCAGAAATATTAATGATCTAAAACCCACCAGTACCTCGTGAAGAAATACTTCTGCTTAAAAACTGAGAAATGGTTTTGTTTCAGAAGCTACGAATGAGACTTACAAAGGCTACCGTGTATATTCCACCAGTCTTCAAATAGCCCCTGAAGCATTCACATTAGCTTCTCATGGCAAATAACTTCCTGAAGGGACAGTATCTAACCATGCCACACTTTAAGTGCTCCAAGCCTAATGAAGTGTAAAATTCTAACATGCTTGGTACATATAAAATGTCACCACTCAAACAAGTACTAGTTTCAACATCTGGCCATGCCCTACCTTAATGAAGCTCTAAAGAAAGATCCTTTGCTTTTTATTCATGAAAGCAGTAAGAAGCACAGAATGCTGTTACAAACCAAGTCTAAGCAAGACTAACATTACGCATGTAGGTATATGTAAAACATATGGATGTATTTATTCAAAATATGATAGTTTATCCAGATTATAGAAAGATAAAAACAAGGAAATTTACCTTGCTGGCACTTAACCGCTTCCGATTTGACCAACGCTTCATTGTTTGGTGAAGATGTCAAAATGAAACAGAAACATCAGTTTGTTAATAATGCAACTAAACTATATTATCATTACATACTATGCAAATTACATTCAGGTTATTATTCCCAAACCTGAAAATTAGCCTCTCCCATCCCTCTCCCCCACCACACACAAAAAGCTCATTTAAACAAGAAAATAGAAACAAAGGAAAAATCACACTAAAGTGACTGCAGTAATCATTTCCTCAAAGTATTCAGAATGGATCAGCATTGGCAGACAAGTACCATTCAGCCTCAATAAGTACACTTTTTAAATTAAATGAAATAGTATAATTTCATCTCCTAAAAGAAGAATGTCAGGTTTCTCCCACTTACAATGTTTAGGTAACATTGTAAAAAAAAAAAAAAAAGAAAAAAATGTTTGTACAATCCTAACTAATGTCAGTTCATGATGAGGTCATCCATAATCTTAGTTAACAGGAAACTTAATTTTATTTATTTCCATAGGTTAAATCTTGGTAGTCAAAATAACAGAAAAGAAAGTAGAACTGGTAGAACTGTTGCCATATGGAAATCTGGTACTTTGTAAGCTAATTAAAAAATAAAATACTAAAATCTTTACTCTCTAATTAAATTAGTTGATCAAGCAAATGTATGAAGAAAAGAAAGTTTTGAAGGGTAAAACATTTCACCTTATCCCTTTCTGATCCTTCTTTGTCCTGCAAAAGCTGCTCCGTTTTATTTAGGGTTGAAATTTCCTTTCAGCAAAATCCTTCTCCTGTCCCAAATCAGTATCTGGTGCTGCAATGCTCTGCTCTGGCTGGCTTACCAGCTAATCACTTTTTAAAATGTGGCTACATTTGTACAATTAAATTATGAATTTAATCAAGCTGCCCACATTTATTATAATGCTCAAAGAATAGGGAAAAATGACCATAAATGGCATGTGTACTTTGCTAATATTTCTCCTCAATAAATAAGAAAACTGAAAAAAAAAAAAAAAAAGCAATCAATCATCAGGAGAAGTTCACTCCCATTTTGCTATCCAGCAGCTACATCAGGATAGAGAGAACTTTACAGTTCTCATTATAATAATACTTGTCTTGCGGAAATGGTGAGAATGTGACTATATGCCCGATATAGTTACAGATGCTACAACTAAGGTTTACAGTAAAATGTTCAGGTATTTTCTCAATGAAAGCATCAAGTATTTTCACTTAATCCAATCACCAAAATTATCAATACAACCTCATAAGGGAATAAAGCTACTGGGGTCCTATTTTTATATAAATACTTGATTTTTTTTTAGCAATAAAAGCAGATAAGATGGATTAGGATACTAACATGATATCTACTTTACTATAATGCCACAAGCTATCACGTACTGAATATATCTACCATAGCACTGTAGTTGATCATGTCAATCTCCATGATACTATACAGCAGGTACCCTCATTCCTATCCCATTCTCTGAGGGAAACACCTCAGAGAGGTTAAGGAACCCTATAAATTGATTCAGTCTTGGTGGATCTAGGAGTCAGATACACAGAGTTTGATGACAAAGTCCACAATATTAGCAATGATACTACTCTTCTTCAAGGGAAAAAAAAAAGAAAGAAAGAAAATCAGTTCACTTGACCTTCCACTCAGGGCTTAATTCATCACACCCAGATGTACAGCACAGAGACAAGCTATGCTGCGCATGTTAAGAATGTTTTTGTCACTTTGGTTCTAAAGCCACAAAATCTGACTCACTGTTAGCGAGAAAAATGGGTACAAAACTGAGAATCCAAACCAGAACTCCTCCACGGTATATAGCTTACTGGAAATGTACAAACCAGGCGTTCTACTGACAGAAAGCTACCTACTGCCCTCCTGGTCCAAGGACTAGTCATTTCCACTTAAAAACCCAAAGTAAAAACACGTTTTAATATTCAACTAAGCTTAATAAAAAGAAAAATGTTTTTTGCCTAGTATAGCCAAATGGAGCATGATAGTCCTATAAGTAGAATAATTGTACACGGCTCAAAACAAACCATCCCTTTATTACTGACCCTTTGGTTATGCTTAGGTCAAGTACGGAGAAAAAGGAAATTACAACGCAAAGTAAATGAGATAGGCAGTCTTCTGTGTGATATTGCTTTCAGAATATATAAAATCATTTGTGCACTTGGCTTCTGCTGGGTGAGGCATAGGAGAGAACACAAGTAAGCAGAGATTTAACAATCTCAACAGAGGAGGCTGTGAACAGGGCTCAAACAGTCATAAGGGCCAGGCTAAGTTAGATGAAGACAGTGGTCCTCTTTGAACTTTAAAAAGGCAAACTGCAAGATGTGCCACAAGAGCAAATCCAGGCTGAAGTCAAACTGCTGTTACTCTAAAATTCCAAATGTGGCAATACTGAAACGCAGTAGATTTAATATGTATTATACATACATACATACAATACACACACACATAATTGTATTATACATATGATTACATATATGTATAGATGTATGTATGTGTGTAGAATTTTAGTCTGTTATTTTTAAGTCAATATTTCTAATGAATTAATTCTTTTAAAAGTAAACGTCTACTTGACACTCCGACAATTAAAAAAACTTTAGCACGCTTTTTTTTAATTACCTTGAGCTAGCTTCTGAGAACTTATTAGTAAATTAGTTACAGTCTTCACTATGAAATTAATTCAACAGAAAGATTAAGCAATAGCTAAAGTGAAGAAATTTACTTCAATTTAGAAGGTATTATTAGAAGCCTCATTTCTGATCCGGCTTCAGATTTTCACACTGGATTCCATGCAGGTTTCCAATGCAGCACAACTATTCTTTCTCCAGTCACTACTCGAGTTTGCTTTGAAGAGACGACCTTTCAGTAAGTTGTAACCAAACACACGGTGTTCTTATTTTAATTATTGGCATTATAATATGCAATACGTGAATATGAAAACGAGATTATAATTTCCATCAGCATGGTTACTTGTAAGAGCAGACTTTCTGCCTTCACAAGATCAGACGCTTCACAATGCCTTTCTTTAGTGGTCAGTGAGAAATTTTCATGTGATAGATTAGAGAACACTAAAAATTTGCAGAAAAGTTAGCAGCTAGAAGCACCACTGAACAAAGAAGGCAAAGAACATAACGTATTGCAAGTGGACACTTGATCTACTTCATAATCTACTACGTAAACTTGAAATCCTGGGATCTGTTCGCACAACTGAATATGTGAAAGTCACCCAGGATCCAAAAATGATTGCATGGAAACCCTGATACCTAAGAAAACTACATCTCAAGACTTAATCCAGGCAAAACAATGTGTCCTGTGAGTTAAGTATCACTTCTAACCGCCCCCTAGTCAGCCAGGTAGCTTCTTATTACCTGGGCTGTCTGTAATCCAGGAGAGGGAACGCACACACCCACATCCTGACACCTGGCATAACTGTTTTACTTCTCTCCTCGCTACCCAGTTGACTGTCATCCTGTGGGCTGGCCAGCCCTCAACGAGCCGCCAGAGTGGAGCGTTTAAACAGAAAGCTCTGCACTTACATGCCTCTTGAAATCACCCTGTTTTACAACTAGGTTCAAATTCAGCACAATCACTCCCATGTCATCCTCTAAACTGTTCGGGTCTTCCAATTTTAAAATACGTTCCGTTGTCCTGCAAGCAAAAGCACGGCATGTGATTTTAACACTAATTGGCAATATGACAGGCCTGACAGTACATCAGGAGCTTACGGCAGGGGCCCTACCACCTCTGCATAAAGATTGAACACGGTGATGTGTGTGTGAGGGGGGTACAGATCTACGTTTAATAAAAATAGATTTCTGGGGATGAAAACTCTGATGTCCGATTTAACACTGTTTAACTGATCTCTCTGCTCTCTACTGAAATAAAGCATAAAAATATTTTTAAGTTAAATTATGGGCTTCGATATTTTAAAAAAATCTAAATAAACACCATTTAATATGAACATGGGTTTTCCCTAAAGCTCAATGATAATGATGCAAGGTTCAAATACAATACCTGTTAAGTTCAAGATCCCTGAGAATGACAAAGGCAGAACCCATGAAATCAGACTTGGTTAAGTCCCGATCGTACACCTAGAAAAGGGTTTAGACATTAGCATATAGGGCCATCCACATGAGCCATTCAATTACTAACATACAGAATAGGCCAGGGACTCTGAACCCATCTTTCAGTCCTTACAATAATTTTCAGAGTGAAGTTGAAGAAAAATACAGCTAAGCTGATACAGAGATATAACTTGTCCATTTTGCCAACCATGTTCAAAACAGGAAAAAAAAAAGACTTTTAGAGCAGTGGTCAAATACAACAAAATATTACACACAATGGACGCTCCCTGTAGTTTAATTGGCCTCTCATTAAAACTTAGCATTTTCCATGGTGAGCAAATCTGCCAATTAAATAGAAATTTGCTAACTATTATACGGCCATCCCAGTCTGTACTCAACTCGTACAGTTTTAACCCAGATGTTGGAGTAATTGACGCTTACACCTGGTAGCTTGAAGCTCTATTAAGTATAAAGTTCTTTCTAATGAGAACGGTATCTACGCTTGTCACCACTCCAGGGCCAGTAATAATTCTTCCACACTGAGTATGTTTAAATATAGCCAATAAGGACATTATTTACACAGTACACTGTGACTTGGCAGCGTATGTGTTTCCCTGATCTGAGAGAAACACAATCTCACAAGGAGTCTTAAAAAAAAAAAAGTTCCTCCTACAGCATTAATATTTTAATCCAGCCTCAGAGAATAATGGAGGAATTAATTGAGGCAAGTTCACTTTTAAGGAGGCCTGAGAACTACGGAGGAATAAATATTTTGAAGAACGAAGCTGACTTGAAAGCTGTTGGGATTATTACCTTCACACGGAGCTTTTGATCAAGGCTTTGTATTGGCAACACAACTATCTCATCCCAAATTGGGTTCAAGTTTTTATATATGACTTTACTCTTATACAGTGTCTTCCCGTTCAGCTTAAATTTCACATACGGATCACTCGTACCTTTAAAAGAAAAAGAGAACAAGACAGAATTTTTAAAAAATACATGTAAAAATCAAGCATCTCTTTCAAGTCAAGATTCTTCCCACAGTCTCCAGGCCCGAAGCAAGCCAGGGAACACACCGAGATCAGTGACTCTCTGTGCAGGGATGGGAAACCTTAGGGGTGTCATGCAGAGGGAGAAAAGCTACAATTTATGAGCAAAGGGCTAATTCCATTTTGTCTTTTAGTGGTTGAATATGAATGGGCCTTGAGCTTTTTTTACGTAGTTTCATTGTGGATATGTCACCCCTCAATTACCCACCAAAAAAAAAAAAAAAAAAAAAAATTCAAGAAAATCAAGGGAGTGTCAGGAGTCCTGGGGAGAAGCTTGGCCTTCCTAGAATCAGCATAAAGTCCATGAAAAGGGAAAGCAGCCACTTCCAAATATTTAGCAGATGGCCGATTCAACAGAATCTTACACCTTAAAATACAATCATAATAAATAAACCAGTCTCTGAAGCCACTCATTCAAAAACTGGTGTGAGGGGACTCGGACTGGAACTAGGGGCACAGAGATTAAATCAACAGAGTGGCCATCCTTTGATGCCTCCTTGCACCTGCACCGAAGCTGCACACTTTGTCCCCACCCAGGGCCAGCTGAGCTGCACGTCAGCCAGGTCCTCAGCTGGCCTCAGAGCTGACACAGCTGACCCGAGTGGCCCCTCCTGGGGAGCTTTGAAATGGATGCCAAAGGGAATGAATAATATCCCTCAAGTTGATACAACCCTGACACCCCCCCTCCCAAATAAAACCCTGATGGTAGATCCTCCTTCACATTTCTCAGATCAATCTGAAAAAAATAAAAAGCCTGCACCCATAATGCATGAAGTATGTGACGTGCTTGTGTGTTACATGAATGTGCGTATCACTTAACATGCCAAGGATATACTTGCTCTTCTGTATCCTGTCAGTGAAGGAACAGAAGCAAATGAGCAATCAGCAGGAAACTAAGAGAGGGCCTGTTCAAGATGCTACTAAGATAAAACTTGTGACTCGCATAGTTATGGCATTGTGCTCTGTCTTGAAAGCCAGCCCTATGAAGATGTACGCAAGGACCCACCGTTTAATTCAGGGCCCCAGATAGACCCTAAGAGCATTCACTGAAATGAATTTCTGATATGCAAGTCAATCTAATATCATCTACAAATATTATGTCATAAATTAACTCCACTGTTTCTCTGAAAGTATTTACATGTCACTCAGGTCCCTTCTTCGGTCTCCATGTGGCTTTGGTAGGAAAAACCACTGAATGTAAATGCAATACATTCCCCAGCTATTTTCGTGGGAGGCGGCATCAATATGGAACAAGACAGTATACATTATTCCGCTTTACTAAAGCAGAAATTTCCCGAGTTAGCATTCCGGTAATACAAGGGCACCAACTTTCAACAAAGAGATTATAATAGGCCTTTAAAATCGTGTCTAATTCTACCATCTAAAGTTTGTCAGCATAGGGATGGAAGCCCAGCCTCCACTTGAAACACATACCCAGGTTGAGCAGTTTTTGAGGGCTAGTAAAAATAAATGCATTCACAGACACTCAGTGGAATTCTCACTGGTGAGTGAGCATCTGCCCGCACCTCCTTCGGCAGCTTGAGAGAGCACCTCTGCTAGTCAGGCTTTAACAATCAACCTGATATATATATAAAAAAAAAAGTGGGGAAAACTATAATAAAAAGAGGCCTTTAATTAAATGAAATTGCCACTCTGGGATCAGACCTTCATGCTTGTCAGCGTACTCTCAAAATAAACATCTCAAAACTCGGCCTCGGTGGTGTCACTTTCTCACAGGCAAGGCATACTGGGTAATCCCCAAGCATCTTGACAGCTACATAATGTTCAAACTGTTTCACGGGTGAATGGCGGCAGTTGCATGAAAGAAAATATTAATGTCTGGAATTAATAGAAAAAAAGGACCAGGGTTTACAAAGCCAAACAAGGAAAAGAGGGTGTCAAGTTAGTGCAGTGTTAATTGTTAGAGAAAATTTGCGAGGAGGGGGAGGGAGCACATGGTGATTTTTTTTTTTCTCTCTGAGCCTAAGTGCCTGACTGTCAGGGAAGAGGCATCTCACTAGGCGGGTTCTGAAAAGGGGCCAGCAGCTCAAGACTGAGACTCCCAGATTACACAAATGGTGAGCTGACACCTGAATGGATGGACTTTGACCTTACTCACTGGGAACCTCAATACAAAGAGGCTTTTAAGGACTTGGTCCATTCAGTGGAGAAGGAAACAAGGGCTAGAAACCAGGCTGTCTCCATAGAGCCCCAAACTCAGACTCTCAGGATGCAGGTCCGGTCATCTCCTCCCACACTGGACACACTGTGGCTTCCATAAACAGAACTTCTACAAGCACAGATTCAACCAACCATAGGGACAACATTTTACTTTTTTTTAAATATGTACAATGTGTCCTTACTGAATAAGTACAGACTCCTGTCCTGGTCATTATCCCACATACAACACAACTATTTACACTGATAATGTAAATAGATAGAGTAAAACATAAGGAGAAATGCATGAAGGTTATATGGAATTTTTATGGTATTTTACATCTAATACCATATCTCCACACACATACATAGTACACATGGATTATAGAATCAACAGAGGTACTGAAACCAACCCCACACAAATCCCTGGAGATGGACGAATCTGCAGGGAAAACTGGCAGCTAGTCGCAATCCCTACAGCAGAGAGGCACTAAGCCCCTTCCCCAAAACTATTTGAATCATAGTTATCCCTGCTTACACCCACTAACCTGCAGATGGCCACTCCCCCTTGACATGTACCTGCCAATCACGCTACCAGACCACAGACACCTCCCATCTCTTCCAGGTCTTGTTTTGTGTGTTGCCAAGACATATCAGCATGAAACCCTGCTCTTCCGCACCTGACAGCACGCACGGATACCCCACAACACAGCACGTGGTCCCAGGTGGTAATGTTCAGAAGAATTGAACATGCTGTGGAGTTCTGCTCAGAAGTAGGTAGGATACTTCCTACCTCACATGTCAGTGGGGGCTCGAATCAAGGAGGCAGGAGCTGAAATCAACCTGGGACCAAACAGGAACAAAGACTGGGGTCATTGGGGCAAGGGGAGAGACCCCCCAAAAAATAATGAGTGTTGTAATAGCTAAGCAAGCACTTCAGTGGACCCAGAAATTGAAGAGAAAAAAGAAAAAAAAAAAAAATTAGATTACAACATGCTGTTTTAAATCCGAAACCAAAGTACCCTAAACATACACAATAAAGGGTTAGTTATTATTCTGCAAGAAATGTGGGTGTTTTATTTCCTGTTCCTGGCCTTTTTATTTTTTTTAAGTGAGAATAATATATGCCCACAACTTTGAAAGGTATGAAATGAAACAAAGCCCACACCCCTTACTGTTCCTGATCCCATTTGTCTGGTGTGATATCCATAAGCAGTTTCTTGAGTGTTTTACAGGAAATATATATATATATATATATATATATATGAATTATTTTTAAATGACTACATTTTCTCAGGTAATATGCCTTTGTGCTGGGATCATACCAGCAATATGTGCCTACTGATGCTTTTCCTACTAAACACATTCTCATTGTGCTGTATCAGGGTAGGTTGGTGTTTAATTTTCCTACTGTAGACCAGCAGACTGGTGTCTCTATCCTGGAATCCCTGCTCTACAGCAAGCTTGTAACACAGGAAGGGTGACAGTGACTCCTTTCGGCTCTAATAGGTATTATAAAATTGTTTTCTAAACCTCACCAAACTTAGGGCTGTGGACTCTGTGGGTGGGAGCGCCTGCTGCTCTTGCAAGAGACCCCAGTTCAGGGCTCAGCATTCACTTCGGGCAGCTGGTAAGGGGTCCAGCGCTCCCTTCCTGCCTCTGAGGGCACACAGACACATGGCATATATAGGCACATACACCTACCTATAAACAAATACAAAACAAATCTTCCTCTAAATGCTTATCAAACTTAGAGTACATATTGTGTTTGTCTCTCTCAGTATTCCCTAAAACTGAATATTCTAAACCTTTATTTTAATCTGTTGGCAGTTCAGGAAAAAGCAAAACAAAACAAAAACAGCCCTACCTCAGCCTCGCCTCACCTTTAACACTTTCAGTGACTTTCCTGCTGCTGTGACCTCTATTTGCGTTTGTCAATCAGGTTCTTATTCTTATCACTTCATTATCTTTAGGTGGCTCAGCTCATCTTCTGGCTACAACTGGGACAGATGCTTCCTTATGGAAATTGCTTGCCAACTATACATCTTGTCAGAATTTATTTGATAAGTTATTAAGTCAATAATGGAGCCCGAGTGGCACAATCGGTTATCGAGTGGTGCTTATTTGTTATTCTCCGTTTTATTTAATAAAATTAACCAAGGTCTAACTTCTGGCTTTGGGCTTTCACATCCTGCTTAGAAGCATTTTTTTAACTGTAATATTGTAGAGTAATTGTGCTGTGTTTCTTCCCATTGATTTTTGTACATTTTCTTTCTTTTTTTTTTTTTTTTTTTTTACACTTAAGTTTTTGGTCCATCTGGAGTTATTTTAGTATGAAGAGGAAGGAAATTTAGGTTCACTCAGGAGGAGAGTAAAGTGATCAGAGCCAAGCTTCGCACATATAAATCTGACAGCAGCTTATAATTTAGAATGAACGAGAAAGGGGAGAAAGCAAGGACACCTGGCAGCTCAGCCTCATGCTGTAACTGAGAGCTGAGGGTAGAGGAGAAAGCTGAGCTCAGGCCCCTGGGCAGTGGGGGGGTTGGGGGGGCTGGCTCTGTAGTTAAAGTGCCTGCTGAGCAAGTGAGAAAACTGGGGATTAGATCCCCAGAACCCAGGCCCCTGCCGGGTACATGGCATCCAAGCTGTAGTTCCAGATGCAGTCAGCAGAGGCAGGGAAGCCCCAGTGGAGACTAGTCTTATGTATGGACTCTGGATATAATTGAAAGGCCCTATCCAAGAAAAAAGGG